ACGTCTTCCACACCTCAATTGCTGAAAACTCTTTCTTGAGATTCAGGACGAATGGATCTTCAGAGCAGAGAGCAGCGGAACTGACTTTTGATAACCATAAAGAACTGCAAACTGCATTAAAATGTCTTCTGAATATCCCTCAATACTACAACTCACTTCTCTTCTAAGACCCATACTGAACTGAAACTGCGCTGATAAAATATCTCTACTGGTTACCATCTTAGACTGTTTGCCACGTCCCCTCCCCTGTACTCTAACACAACTATCTCTTGTGGAAATAGCCAGCCGGCCATACTGGAACAACGCATGTCGATGGTATCACATGGAGCCACATGATCCATCCCGTGCATCTAGTACAGCTGATTGCGGCATTCACGCAGGATGACAGGCACACTCGACGTGGGCACCTGGAGGGATGGCACATGGCAGGCGGCATGCGGAGGGAAAAAGTTATGTGAATGGACTTGAAGGGCGCAGTGGCCAGCTGCAAGTCCCAAACATGGGCGCCTCCCCGTTTTGCCCCTACCTGTGCGCATCCACTCATGAATGTGTGCACCTACCTGTGTGTGCACCTACCTGTGTGTGCACCTACCTGTGTGTGCACCTACCTGTGTGTGCACCTACCTGTGTGTGCATGCTAACGTGTGCATGTGCATGTGCATGTGCATGTGCATGTGCATGTGCATGTGCATGTGCGTGTGCATGTGCGTGTGCATGTGCATGTGCGTGTGCATGTGCGTGTGCTGCGTGTGCATGTGCGTGTGCATGTGCGTGTGCATGTGCATGTGCATGTGCGTGTGCATGTGCATGTGCGTGTGCATGTGCGTGTGCGTGTGCATGTGCGTGTGCGTGTGCATGTGCGTGTGCATGTGCATGTGCATGTGCATGTGCGTGTGCATGTGCATGTGCGTGTGCATGTGCATGTGCGTGTGCATGTGCGTGTGCATGTGCATGTGCGTGTGCATGTGCATGTGCGTGTGCATGTGCGTGTGCGTGTGCATGTGCGTGTGCATGTGCGTGTGCATGTGCATGTGCATGTGCATGTGCATGTGCGTGTGCATGTGCATGTGCGTGTGCATGTGCGTGTGCGTGTGCATGTGCGTGTGCGTGTGCGTGTGCATGTGCGTGTGCATGTGCATGTGCATGTGCGTGTGCATGTGCGTGTGCATGTGCCTGTGCGTGTGCATGTGCATGTGCGTGTGCATGTGGGTGTGCGTGTGCATGTGCGTGTGCATGTGCATGTGCATGTGCGTGTGCATGTGCATGTGCATGTGCGTGTGCATGTGCGTGTGCATGTGCGTGTGCATGTGCATGTGCATGTGCATGTGCGTGCGCATGCGCATCTCACCACGCCAATCTCTGTGACGATGCCGGTGATGTAGTCTGCTGGGGTGAGGTCGAACCTGCAGCGGGCAGAGGCAGGGACGCAGAGAGAGGCGGAGACAGAGGCACACGCGCCAGACGTCATGCATGAACACATGGATCAGTGGAGACAGCACATGGGGTGCAGACACCTACACACGAGCAAGGAGAGGGAACCAGGTCAGCTTGAAGTGGACGAATAGCCGGAATAGGAATGGTGAGAGCGGGTAATCACAGGATGTTGAGGGGCCGGAGCGTGGGCGTGCTCTGCCAGTGCCTGCATGGGAGATGGTTCTGCTGCGTCTACTGCCTCGGGTGCGTCTGATGAGAGCGATGGGGAGAGGCCCGTGTTGACCAGCACCTGTGGATCGCCTGTGGGGCCGGGCGTTGGAGAGAAAAGGAGTCGTGGAAAGACGGAAGTTACAAGGTGGGACAGAGTTGTCTGAAAGACAGAGAGAGGGGGGATGGGGAGGGGAAGGTGGAAGAAGAGGGTACGAGGCGGGAGCAACACGATCTGACCCTTGCCTTCAATGTTGGAGTGGGTGCAACTCAATGCAAGTCAGAGCAGGTCAGCGCAGGTCAACCCACCGATCTCGTTGTGTGTGATGGAGTCGAGCTGTATGCGCTCCTGGAACTTGCTGGACTCGCAGCAGCATGGGAACCAGCAGACAGCGACTCATTGTTCGTGGTGGATTCAACGCAGGTCAACAAAGGTCAACGCAGGACAACAAAGGTCAACGCTGGTCAACAAACGTCAACGCAAGTCAATTAAGGTCAACCCACCGATCTCGTTGTGAGTGATGGAGTCGAGCTGCACGCGCTCATGGAACTTGCTGGACTCGCAGCACACCAGCACCGGCACGCGCTGCGCATGCGCCATCATGGCCACCGCTGCCGTGCCCACCCGCGCATATGCCGCCCCGTTCGCCAGCACTGCTGCTGCTCCCAGGAATACACGTGTCACGTCCTGATTGGATGTGGAGAGCAGGTGGAAATTGGTGGGAGGAGGGCGCAGGAGAGAAGAGAGGATAGCGACGTGGGGCTGTAAGGAAAGAAACTCGAGAGCTAACTGTTCCACACCTGCTGTGCATCTATTGCTCTCCGCATCTATTGCCGCTGCTCCCAGGAACACACGTGTCACGCCCTGATTGGACGGGGAGAAGACGGGGAGATCGGTGAGACAAGAGCACCCATGCTCAAGAGCACCCACGCTCAAGAGCACCCACGCCCAGAGCACCCACGCCCAAGAGCACCCACGCCCAAGAGCACCCACGCCAACGAGCACCCACGCCCAAGAGCACCCACGCTCAAGAGCACCCACGCTCAAGAGCACCCACGCCAAGAGCACCCACGCTCAAGAGCACCCAGGAGATAGCCAGATGGGGCTGTAAGGAAAAACCTTTCTGGGCCATTTGATCCACAGATACTCTGCAGTCACAACCCTCTTCTTCCCCATCCTCCTCTCTCCGGCTTCCTGCTGCCGCCCTACCTTCATAATGTACGAGGCAGCGTTAAGCCGCAGATAGAGACAGGAAATGCCGCCCGCCAGCAGGCGGCGCACCATCTCCTTGCCCTCCAGGTGCGGGCGGGAGTCGACCACTATGGCCCGGAACACATGGCCCGCACTGGCAGCTGAGAGGAGCACCTGAGGGGGCAGGGAGAGAGTAGAGCGAGGAGAGGAGAAAGGGAGAGGAAAAGGGAGCAGGGAGGGAAGGAAGAAGTCGAATGTGGGACGGGGTGGAGAAAACGAAACCGTAGCATGAGACCCTAGGATGAGAGGCAGAGAGGAACTGGTGAGTGAGCGCTCACCTGCAGCACAAGCTCCGACCACCCAAACGTGAGGATCACGTCGCCTCCCTCCTTATCTTCCCAGCGGCGTGCCGCACCACCTCCAGCCCCGCGTACACCAGCTTCTCAGCAACAAACCGGTCGATCTCCGCCACCAGCGCCGTCCTTGCGGCGCCCTCCTGCACGGCCGGGTCAGCGCCCATCCTCGTCAGGCACTGCTTGAGCGCCCTCACGGCGTTCCCCATGCCGACGGACAGCTGGCGGCACGCAATCAAGAAGCCCACGTGCGCATTGAGCTTGGCGGTGAGGTCGCGGATGAGGGGGCGACCCTCGGGGAGGCGGTAGTCGAGGAAGAGCAGGCGCAGGGCTTGTAGCATCGCCAGGCAGCGCTCGTTGCCGCCCTGCAGGCGCTGATCCTGTTGGAGGAAGCGCATGCCCGCCTGGAGAGGGGGAGGGGGTGGGGTGGGGAGGGGTGGGGGAGAGGGTGAGAGGGGGAGAGGGTGAGAGGGGGTTGAGGGAGGGTGGTTGGGTGAATGAAGGCAGCACTTATAGCAGCGTGGCTTCCCCCATGCGCTCGTGGCCGCCTTGCAGGCGCTGGTTCGTCAGGAGAAAGCCCGTGCCCGCCTGGGGAGGGGGTGTTTGGGGGGGAAGCAGGAGAGGACGGCATGATGGAGGGAGAGCATTCATGCCACAAGGCAAGGCATGGCAAGGCATGTTGCACGCACCTTGCTCCATCCCACCCGCTTACCTCGTACACGCCGGGGTGGATCTGCAGGGGCTCTCCTCCTCGTCCAGCAGCCGTGCCTCCACGAGGCGGATCTGAGCCGCGCGGTCAAACTGTGGCAGATGCCGAAACAGGTCCACTCGCAGGGATGAATCCACGGCCGCCACGTCAGCCATCAGCTGCTGCCACCCGCCCCGCAACGAGCTCGACTTGTGCTGCCCCTCCTCCCCTCCCCGCCCCCCTCCCTTTCCCCCGCCACCCCCTCCCCCCTTCTGTGCGCCAGCCATGCTGCCACTGCTGCTGCGCCCATCCCCCTCCCCTCCCCCTCCGCCTGTAGCAGAGGTTGCAACTGACTCCCCACTCGCCCTCCTCCCCCCGCCCTGCTGCCCCCTCCTTCCCCGCCCGCCCTTGCCCCCCCTCCGCCTGCCCCCCTCCCCCTTTCCCCCCTGCAGGAAAGCAAAGGGAGAGACTGGGGTTTGGCACCATGGCATGGCACAGTTATTATGAGGGGCATGGCATGGCATGGCATGGCACAGCATGGCATGGCACGGCATGGCATGGCATGGCATGGCATGGCATGGCATGGCATGGCATGGCATGGCATGGCATGGCATGGCATGGCATGGCATGGCATGGCATGGCATGAGATGCATGTGAAAACACATCATACTAAAAAACTGACAGGTTGTGAGTAACAACGCACCTTTACCACCAGCAGCAGCACCCCCAGCACTGGCAGCGGCCTTGGCAGCCCTCTGCGCCTCCTGCAGCGCGCGCCTCTCTGCCTTGGACGTCACCTTCTTGCCGCCCGCCCTGCCGTCCATCGCCGCTGGCAGACGGGGGAGAGGGTGGGGGCGCGGGCGCGGGCGGGGGTGGAAAGGGGGGGAAGGGTTTTGGGGGGATGGGGGGAAGTTGGGAGAGGGAGGTTGGGGAGGGGGGAGGGTGGGAGGGGATTGGGGTGAGCGCTGGACCGAGGAGATACAGGTGCAGGGAGGTTATCGAGGAAGCACTAGACTATACAGACACGGGGTTTAGAAGGGTTTCTGAGACACACAACCGACGTCTAGTGAGGCCGATTCGTTGCTCCTGCTCCTCCCTTCCTTCTCCCCCTCCCTCCCCACCCCTATCCCTGCTACCCCACCCTATCCTCTGACGCTACCCCACCCTATCCTCTGACGCTACCCCATCCGCGCCCCACTCGTTGATTCGAGCCCTAGTGCCTAGTGCCTGGTCACAGCACCCACCCGGCAGGGAGGCGGGCACCACAGCAGACGCAGCTTTAGCGGCGCCCCTCACTCCCAGACTCCCCGCACTCTGCGGACTGCCCCCCGCGCTGCTGCTGCTGTTCGCGGGGGATCTCCCCGCGCCCGCTGCCCCCGCCACTGCTCCGCCTGCCGCTCCCCCCGAGGCGCCTGTCCCCCGCGCAGGAGCGCCCGCCTGCCCCCCGCGGCTGGGTTTTGCGCCATCCGCCCCTTCCCCCTGCGCCGCCGCCGCACCCGCGCGAGCTACAGCCGCGGCGGAGACGATCGGTCCGCTGACGTCAGACACGGATCCGAACACCGCGCCGGATGGTGCTGCTGACGTGGCGGACGACGATAGGTAGGAATCATCAGGCGGGAGACTATCGGAGCACTCGCTGCCCTCCATGATGGGCGAGGGGCGCTGGTAGGACGGCAGCGGCACGTTGATCGGCAGCGACGGCATCGGCGGCACGGACGGCACGAAAGGCGGCGACGGGGACGCCGTTGCGAGGAACGGCAGGGGCGGCAGCCCGTCGGTGTCGGCTGCGGAAGAGGAGGAGGCGGAGGGGTCGCGGGCGGATTGGCCGGCGGGGAGTGCGGCGGAGGGCGCGAAGAAGCCGACCTGGCGCACGATGGGGTCGTTGTGGCCCGCGCGCCCCGAATGCTCCATCGCCGCCCCACTCACTGGCTCTGGCTCGCTGCCTGCCTGGGTCACTCGCTAACTGCCTCTCCCGCCCGCTTGCTCGCTGCCCGCCTCACGCTCGCGCTGCCTGCCGCAGTGGCTGTCCGAGACCGGCGATTGCGGAAGCGGCGAGGGAATGATCGCAATGCGCGGATTGATGTGGTGGGAAGAGCGCCTCTCGCCTCTTGGGATGGAGAATGGATGTCAATGGTGACGAGCTGTGCAGATACGATTGAACAGCCCCGATAGTGAGTGCACCGACCTTGGCTTTAAGCTAGCTGTTGCAATGGATGTTATCTACAGATGCAGGCCCAGTACACTGTAATTTTGCATCTCCCTTAACGCAACTATAAAGCATGGTGGAGAGAGATATTGGTCCCATGACAATCCATTACAGTGCGATCGTCATCACAAATGAATCGACCTATTGCGACAAGATGCAGCCATGATCAACTCCTAGAGGAGGCTTGAAGGGCTAATGCCACATTGTCACATGAAAGTCCCAGAATAGCTATTTCTGTATTACTTCTGAAGAGGTGAGGATGCTGTGCTACTTCTGTATCTTGAGGATGGTGCGGTGCCACGTGCCTGAGCTGGGCACGAAGCGCAGCTCCCACGTGGGCCAGTAGTGCAGGTCCTGCTTCAGCGTCAGCACGCGCGGCTTGCCGTTCAAATGCACCACCTTCACCCGCACAAAGGCGCCGTGCTCCAACTCCTGGGGAGGGGGGAGGAGGGGGGAGGGGGGGACGAGATCATAGAAGGATGAGGGGAAGTTGAACAGAGAGTTTGGAAGGAAGGGGAGGAGTGCGGCTTGCCGTTCAAATGCACCACCTTCACCTGCACAACGGCGCCGTGCTCCACCTCCTGAACACGGGGGGGGGGGGGGGGGAGGGAGCGCACTAATGGACAGAAGGGGGCAACGGTGGGAGGGGAGGTTGAGATGAACAATCTGGAGAGCGGAAATGGAGAGAGCAGGAGAGGAACAAAGAAACCACTAGGAAACCACTCAGGGTGGTGTCAAACCACTGCGAAAAAACTCAGGGTGGTGGCAAACAGGTGAGAAACCACTCGGGGTGGTGGCAAACAGGTGAGAAACCACTCGGGGTGGTGGCAAACAGGTGAGAAACCACTCGGGGTGGTGGCGAGCCAGTGAGAAATCACTCAAAATTGTGGCGAGCCAATGAGAAACCACTTAAGATAGTGGCAAACCAGTGAGAAACCACTTAGGATAGTGGCAAACCAGTGAGAAACCACTCAGGGTGGTGGCAAACCAGTGAGAAACCACTCGGGGTGGTGGCAAACTAGTGAGAAACCACTTGGGGTGGTGGCAAACCAGTGAAAAACCACTCGGGGTGGTGGCAAACCAGTGAAAAACTACTCAAGGTAGTGGCAAACCGGTGAGAAACCACTCAGGTGGCAAACCACTGGTGGTAACAGGCGGTGGGGAGTGATGGACGGTGACGGCCGGTGACACGCGGTGGGTGGTGGTGACGGGTGGTGGGCGGTGATGGGCGGTGATGGGCGGTGACGAGCAGTGTTGGGCGGTGGCAGCAAGAACCTCGCCTGGCTGATGGCAGCAAGAGGCTCACCTGGCTGATGGCAACAAGGGCATCGAGGTCGGGCACGGGTCGGCCATTGATCTCCACAATCCAATGGAGTGCGTACAGCCCGTACCGGTGGGCCGGACTGCCATGGCACCACCTGAGAGGGTGGGGGTGGTGGGAAGGAAGTGAACTTCTTAGAGGAAAGAAGGGGGGCGCATAGAGGCCATTGGGGAAGGAAGGAGGGATGGTGCGCATATGCCCGTAGCGGTCTGCTGAGCTGTTGTGGCATGGCACAAGGTGCTTTCAACGGGGGTGCTTTAGACCGGAGTGCTTTCAACCAGAGAGATTTCGACCGGTGTACGAGGCTTACCTAGGGAGATACGAGGCCTAGCAAGGGGGATACGAGGCCTACCAAGGGAGATAGGAGGCCTAACGAGGGAGAAACGAGGCCTACCGTGGAAGATCCGATGCCTGCCAAGGGAGATACGAGGCCTACCAAGGGAGATACGAGGCCTACCGAGGGAGATACGAGGCCAACCGAGGGAGATACGAGGCCTACCGAGGGAGATAGGAGGCTAACCGAGGGAGATAGGAGGCCTACCGAGGGAAATAAGAGGCCTACCGAGGGAGATACGAGGCCTACATAGGGAGATACGAGGCCTACCGAGAGAGATACGAGGCCTAGTGAGGGAGATCCGAGGCCTACCGAGGGAGATACGAGCCCTACTGAGGGAGATACGAGGCCTACCGAGAGAGATACGAGGCCTACAGAGGGAGATACGAGGCCAACCGAGGGAGATTCGAGGCCTACCCAGAGAGATACGAGGCCTGCTGAGGGAGATACAAGGCCTACCGAGGGAGATAGGAGGCCTACCGAGGGAGATACGAGGCCTACCGAGAGAGATACGAGGCCTACTGAGGGAGATACGAGGCCTACCGAGATAGATACGAGGCCTACCGAGAGAGATACGAGGCCGACCGAGAGAGATACGAGGCCTACCGAGAGAGATACGAGGCCTACTGAGAGAGAAACGAGGCCTACCGAGGGAGATTCGAGGCCTACCCAGAGAGATACGAGGCCTGCTGAGGGAGATACGAGGCCTACCGAGGGAGATAGGAGGCCTACCGAGGGAGATACGAGGCCTACCGAGGGAGATTCGAGGCCTACCCAGAGAGATACGAGGCCTACTGAGGGAGATACGAGGCCTACCGAGGGAGACAGGAGTCCAACCGAGGGAGATACGAGGCCTACCGAGGGAAATAAGAGGCCTACCGAGGCAGACACGAGGCCTACCGGGGGAGATCCGAGGACTACCAAAGGAGATACGAGGCCTACCGAGAGAGATATGAGGCCTACCGAGGGAGGTACGAGGCCTACCCTACCGGAGTGCCTCCGACCATAATGCTTCCGACCGGAGTGCTTCCGACCATAATGCTTCCGACCGGAGCGATTTCGCTTTCGACCGGAGCGTTTCCGACCGGAGGGCTTTGGACCGGAGCGCGTTGGACCGGAGCACTTTGGACCAGAGCGCTTTCGGACGGAGCGCTTTCGACCGGAGTGCTTTCGACCAGAGTGCTTTGTACCGGAGTCCTTTCGACTGGAGTGCTTTGGACCGGAGTGCTCTGGACTGGTGTGATTTCGACCGTAGTGCTTTCGACCGGAGTGCTTTGGACTGGTGTGATTTGGACCAGAGTGCTTTGGACCGGAGTGCTTTGGACCGGAGTGCTTTGGACCGGAGTGCTTTGGACTGGTGTGCTTTCGACCGGAGTGCTTTCGACCAGTGTGGCAGGTAGGTCGCCGGACAGAGGGGGGCCTGGAAGGGAATGAAGGAACGAAAACCAGAAGGAGAGACGGAGGAGGGGGACGAAGGGTGCCCTGGTGTAAGGAAAAGCATGCAACGACAGCCAGCTTTCTTCTGCTGCCTCCAGGCTAACCTTGCCATGCGCTCCCATGCTCTAAAACGTGCTCAACAACCCCCATCTTGCCCAAATGACCATGTAGCACCATGCCCCCCACCCCACCCACCTGGCAACATAGGCGTCGTGGCCCTGCGAGGAGAGGAAGCCAGTGGCCCTGACGGCGGGGTGGGGGTCCTGCATGAGGCACCCCACCCTCACCATGCACGTCCGTGATCCAAGAATTGCTCAAGAACCCCCCTCCCTGCACCGACAACCTTGAACAATCCACAGCCCCCACCCACTTGGTGACAAAGGAGCCATCATCCCACCCACCTGGCAACGTAGGCGCCATGGCCCTGCGAGGGGAGGAAGCCGGTGGCCCTGACGGCGGGGTGGGGGTCCTGCACGAGGCACCCCGCCCAGTTCACCACGCGCGTCGTGCCAAACCCGTGCCGCACGTCCGTGGCCGCCTGCACCCGCTGCTCCTTGCCCTGCCGAAGTATCGTCAGGTGCAGCGACAGGGGTGCCTCCGCCCCTGCTGCTGCAAGTGAGGAATCGCCCTTCCCGTCTATCCTCCCAGCAGTCCCTCCTGCCCCCGCTGCCCCTGCTGCCCCTGCTGCAGCCTCTGATAAGCCATTCACAGCAGTCTTGCCTGCCTCTGCTGCCTCTCCTGGCGCCCCTGTCGGCTCCCTTACCTCTGCCATACTCACATCACCATTACTCACAACCCCTACCCCGGTCCCCTCCAACGGTACTGCTGACTCACCCCCCCAGAGTCCAGCTCACGGCACGCCACCTCCACATCAGCAAAACAAGTCACCGGCCGGTTATTCACGGCAAGGAGCATATCCCCCTGCTGCAGCACCCCAGCAACAGCGGACCCTGCGAGCGTCCCTTTCACTCTCAGCACCTGGCGCCTCAGAGGGTCCGCCTGAGCGAGCACGCGCACCCAGGGGTCTGTAAGCCCGAAGCTGCGCGCCTTTGACAGCAGCATGGGGGCGAGCTCTGCCTCAAGCACGCGCACACACGGCATCTCCCACAGCCGCCCGTTCATCAGCAGCCGGCCGTCCCCCCCGCCTGCTGCTGCAGCCCCCCCGTGTGATCACGCACCTGCCCCACTGCCTCTCTCGCCTCCTCCCCTTCAACAATCGCCTGCCCCTTCCCCTCCGTGTCAGTCGCAGCAGAAGGAGGCGCAGGGGGGAGAGGCGGAGTGAGGTGAGGGCGGATGGGCGTGGAGGGGGGGGCGAGGAGGATGTGTTCGAGCACGGAGGAGACGAAGGCGATGGGGATGCCGCGCACAAACTGCAGGTCGTCCGTGCCGCCATCGCCATACTTTAGCTGAGAGGGAAACGGGAAAAAGGGGGGGGGGAGGAGGGAGAGAGATCACACAAGAAAGAAATTGGTACTTACAAATGTACAGCGAAAAGACGTGGGGACAAGTATGGAGAGAATCAAGATGGAGTTGTGCGTAGCAGAGGCGGGGGAGAAGAGGGGGGTGTGGGCAAGAGGGAGCAGAGAGAGTGGCGCCCTTTCATTGGGACATGAGGAAAAAATCGGGTCTTTGCTTTGAAAGGCAAGGATGTGGGCTCGAGAGAGGGTGAGTTTTGAGTCGACTCAAAAGTCACGAGAGAGGGAGAGGTGGAATGAGGTGCGGGGGGAGGCCAAGAAAGAGGGTGAGTCGAGAGTGTTTGGCGCAACGGCGGCCAGCAGGTTTGCAACGTACGAAGGTGGAGAAGGAGCCCCAGA